TATTTGAAATATATTGTTTCAGTAAATTTCACAGGGGTTACCAAAATCTAATTTGAATTTTAATTCAATTTTTACGTTATTGGTTGCACATGTGTGAGCAATGCCATAAAATGTGATCAATGTGAGACATGTCACAGTCGGGACATTTTACTAGTAAGTGTACACACGAATCTTTCCAAGCGAAAGCAACGCTCACGCAATTAGACAGATGAAATGTTACTTATTATTTTCCTCGTACTCTCATTTGTTTCCCGAATTTTTATCGTTATTTCTTCCTCGAATATTCATCTATTTTACTTCATCCGAATTGTCTGTAGTATTGCTAAATAGTAATTCAGAGCAGTTTAAGGAATCTCGTAAGAGTTTTTTCAATTGTTTACCGGGCTCAAGTTATTATGAAATCATTTACACTGTCGTTTTATTTATACGATGTTCCACATTTCTGTTCGTGTTTCACTACACTTTAATGTTACATTCGTTCAAGTAGTTCCAAATTTGTTCAATATATTTGAAATATATTGTTTCAGTAAATTTCACAGGGGTTACCAAAATCTAATTTGAATTTTAATTCAATTTTTACGTTATTGGTTGCACATGTGTGAGCAATGCCATAAAATGTGATCAATGTGAGACATGTCACAGTCGGGACATTTTACTAGTAAGTGTACACACGAATCTTTCCAAGCGAAAGCAACGCTCACGCAATTAGACAGATGAAATGTTACTTATTATTTTCCTCGTACTCTCATTTGTTTCCCGAATTTTTATCGTTATTTCTTCCTCGAATATTCATCTATTTTACTTCATCCGAATTGTCTGTAGTATTGCTAAATAGTAATTCAGAGCAGTTTAAGGAATCTCGTAAGAGTTTTTTCAATTGTTTACCGGGCTCAAGTTATTATGAAATCATTTACACTGTCGTTTTATTTATACGATGTTCCACATTTCTGTTCGTGTTTCACTACACTTTAATGTTACATTCGTTCAAGTAGTTCCAAATTTGTTCAATATATTTGAAATATATTGTTTCAGTAAATTTCACAGGGGTTACCAAAATCTAATTTGAATTTTAATTCAATTTTTACGTTATTGGTTGCACATGTGTGAGCAATGCCATAAAATGTGATCAATGTGAGACATGTCACAGTCGGGACATTTTACTAGTAAGTGTACACACGAATCTTTCCAAGCGAAAGCAACGCTCACGCAATTAGACAGATGAAATGTTACTTATTATTTTCCTCGTACTCTCATTTGTTTCCCGAATTTTTATCGTTATTTCTTCCTCGAATATTCATCTATTTTACTTCATCCGAATTGTCTGTAGTATTGCTAAATAGTAATTCAGAGCAGTTTAAGGAATCTCGTAAGAGTTTTTTCAATTGTTTACCGGGCTCAAGTTATTATGAAATCATTTACACTGTCGTTTTATTTATACGATGTTCCACATTTCTGTTCGTGTTTCACTACACTTTAATGTTACATTCGTTCAAGTAGTTCCAAATTTGTTCAATATATTTGAAATATATTGTTTCAGTAAATTTCACAGGGGTTACCAAAATCTAATTTGAATTTTAATTCAATTTTTACGTTATTGGTTGCACATGTGTGAGCAATGCCATAAAATGTGATCAAAATATTGAGACATGTCACAGTCGGGACATTTTACTAGTAAGTGTACACACGAATCTTTCCAAGCGAAAGCAACGCTCACGCAATTAGACAGATGAAATGTTACTTATTATTTTCCTCGTGCTCTCCTTTGTTTCCCGAATTTTTATCGTTATTTCTTCCTCGAATATTCATCTATTTTACTTCATCCGAGTTGTCTGTAGTATTGCTAAATAGTAATTCAGAGCAGTTTAAGGAATCTCGTAAGAGTTTTTTCAATTGTTTACCGGGCTCAATTATTATGAAATCATTTACACTGTCGTTTTATTTATACAATGTTCCCCATTTCTGTTCATGTTTCACTACACTTTAATGTTACATTCGTTCAAGTAGTTCCAAATTTGTTCAATATATTTGAAATATATTGTTTCAGTAAATTTCACAGGGGTTACCAAAATCTAATTTGAATTTTAATTCAATTTTTACGTTATTGGTTGCACATGTGTGAGCAATGCCATAAAATGTGATCAATGTGAGACATGTCACAGTCGGGACAGTTTACTAGTAAGTGTACACACGAATCTTTCCAAGCGAAAGCAACGCTCACGCAATTAGACAGATGAAATGTTAATTATTATTTTCCTCGTACTCTCATTTGTTTCCCGAATTTTTATCGTTATTTCTTCCTCGAATATTCATCTATTTTACTTCATCCGAGTTGTCTGTAGTATTGCTAAATAGTAATTCAGAGCAGTTTAAGGAATCTCGTAAGAGTTTTTTCAATTGTTTACCGGGCTCAAGTTATTATGAAATCATTTACACTGTCGTTTTATTTATACGATGTTCCACATTTCTGTTCGTGTTTCACTACACTTTAATGTTACATTCGTTCAAGTAGTTCCAAATTTGTTCAATATATTTGAAATATATTGTTTCAGTAAATTTCACAGGGGTTACCAAAATCTCATTTGAATTTTAATTCAATTTTTACGTTATTGGTTGCACATGTGTGAGCAATGCCATAAAATGTGATCAATGTGAGACATGTCACAGTCGGGACATTTTACTAGTAAGTGTACACACGAATCTTTCCAAGCGAAAGCAACGGTCACGTAATTAGACAGATGAAATGTCACCTATTATTTTTCCTGTGCTCTCGTTTCTTCCTCGGATATTTTTTATCGTCACTTCTTCCTCGTATATTTCTTTATTTTATGCCACCCGTGTTGTCCGTTGAATTACTGAATAATTATTCAGAGCAGTTTGAGGAATCTCGCAAGAGTTGACTGCGTAACACGTAGGGTAATGGGTGAGCCGACAACTCGAGATGTTTTTACCTCCTTTTTTGTAATGGTAGCCCATTGAAGGGAAAAAAAACTTTTACCTAAGCTATCATCGGTTCACGGAAGAGGTACACGTGATAATAAAAGCAAGGAGAAGTGCAGCGAAAGTGGAGAGAGATCGCACTCGTGACTCTCATCGTGCCGAATCACGTGACGTCCTTGGTTTTATGCCAGGAATCGTAGATTTTTAAACTTGTCGTTTACCTTGGGTGTAGTTTCCATCGATGATTTCTCCGAATAGTTTTATTGTCTACCCCGTGGTACGCGTAAAAATCAACATTGATTATCACTACTCGTCTTCAAGATGGGATGAAAGTTTTGTTCTTAAACGGCGCACCTGTAGACTCAGTCCCCGGCATTCCGATCTTTGGGGCCTGACCCGGAAAAAATAACACATCTCCTTGACCATCATTTGCTACATCATTCAATGGGATTATACGAGCTATTTCTCATTTTCTCTTTCATTCATTTAGTACCGTGTGTTTTTCGATTTTTTATGCCGTCATCAGCCTTAACGACCGTCGATCTTATTATTTGGACAAAATGAAATGACTTCCATTTTTTTCCAGTGAAATTTTTCTTCGTCTTCACACTGTTCGTAAAAAGTAGAAATTTCACGCACTGTTGGCTAGTAATTTTTAGGAGAGTGCCATTGGATTCGAGGGAAAAGATCGTGAAATTTCAGATTCCAAGGAAGATTCAATGAGTTTTCAAATTGTTGAACGGCAGGAAGATGAGGATTCCATAATGCAAATGAAATGTTAATTAAAACGTTAATATTCAAGATCAAATTAAGGAAAATTTTTAGTTAATTTGTAATTCAAAAATATATTTTACTGAATTTTCCTGATTTTTATTAATTTTCATGGCACAAATGAATTGAAATTCAACGTTTCCATTGACTTTTCCATAAAATTTCGAATTTTCAATACCGTTAGAAAATTTCAAAAATTTAAGGTTCATGGACAGTATTTCAAAGAAAATCCTAATTTCAGAGCAGTAGGAGAACGAGAATTTCTGAACATAATTCTATTTCTAATCAAAATATTAATATTTTAAGCCAGATTACGTTGAATTTTCAAATAATTAAAAATTCAGAAAGATTTCCATGTGAATGTTACTAATTTCTATTAAGGTTCAAGAAATAATGGAACTGTAATTTCCAGTCTTCCCTGATTTTTCCATAAAATTTCTCAATTTCCAGCACAGTTGATCTGCGACGAAATATTCAATTAATCTATTCCACAGTCTTCAGTGATCTTAAAATTACAGAATTAATGCTTTTTCCATCGTTCAGAATTCACGAAGCAGGAAGAGACCGAGATTCCTCTTTATGACTGAAATAAACTGGTGAAAAATTGAATTGCACTGGCGTCTGATTTATTGTTCAATTACTCCCGGACTTGAGCGTAATTCGATGGGGCATTAAGTTGAATAGACCCAGCGAACTTGGGGGCCAATTACAATCAAGAGTCAACGGTCTAACGTGTATTTTCCGTTTAGCGCGTGTGATGTGATTCTCCCCTTGCCCTCCGATGAGCAACGATGATGGCCAGCCTACTTTCTCCACAAAGATATTTTTTTTTACCTCGAGCGTGTTCTCCTCTCCCTTCGCCTCTCCAGTTGTCCCCCCCCCCGGTCCCCTTCTACCGATTTTTCTCGCTCACTTGTACAGACCACGGTATCTCTGGAGTCTCTTCATCACCCGGGTCTTCTCCATTCCTCGACTCTTGCTCTGGCTACGGCAGTAGTCGATGACGACTTCAATACAGTAACAGTAGACTGTACCTGTTGAGAATCTATATAAGCCAGTGGCTTCCCGCTCAACTCAGCATTTTTTCTATCGCGACACCGCGCGTGGTACATGTCCCTAGGTAACCACACACCACCGGCATGATTGTTTACGACACGTGAACTTTCTTTTTTAATTTTTTTTAACTGTGTTTTGTTTTATATTCAAGAGGAAGAATAAATTGTTTCACTGGATTTTATTGAGTGTGTGGTGTTTAGTTAGAAACTTTTCAAGTGTTAAGTGCTACAAGTGCCATGAAAAGTTTCAAGGTAGGTGGAAGAGCGTTGAAACGTTTTTGTTGATATTTTTTTACCCAATTGATTTTTTTTAGTGCTTTGAAATTCAAGTAACTAGAAATGATAATTGAAACCCCGGCTCTTGTCAGTTCCTGCGAAAAAATGAAGTTTCAGCCTTGAACTTCATCATTTTTTTCAGTTTATTCTACGAACAAAAAATTTGAAGAAAAATAATTTTTTTCACTTATTAGATACGTCGAAATAGATTTTTTTTTTATTGGTGTATTCATAGCTCAATATGATAATCAAAGTGCTGGCTTTTTTAGTTTATTAAACTTCACAATTTTTTCTTTTTTATTACAAGAACAAAAAATTTGAAGAAAATTAGAATTCGCACTGATTGAATTGACGCGAAAATAAGTTCATAATTTTTTTAGTGCACTGAACAATAAATCAAATATGCACGGAGAGAAATTCAGTAGAAAAATTCTAGTGCTGTTAATGTCAAATTTCTAAGGATTTTTTTCATATAAGACCTTTTCATATGAGAATGGCAAAAATTCACGTATTACTCATTAAAAATTCCAGTGCTAGCACTAGAATTTTCTAGAGAATTTTTCTCCACGTGACAATCAAAGTGCCGGTTATCCTCAGATCATGTGCAATAAGAGCAAGGACGAAAAAAATGAGAAATAAAATATTCTCACTCCCGTGATCCCGTAAAATATTCCCCCTCTCCCTGAAAATAAACTCATTATTAAATTTACGTGACGATAAATTCTTGTGCTTTCAGTTGGCCGGTATACTGCTGTGCCTCGCGCTAGTAAGCGAGCATACCCAAGCAGTATTAAACAAAAGTACCACCAAAAATGTGAATAATGAAAATTCTGAGAGCGACAAGAAGAGTGATAAAACAGCGGAAGATAGAATAAGCAACGAATACGGTGTACCACTGTCGAGTTTTAATGGACCAGCCCCAGTGTACGGACCGCCTGAATTAACTGGAAATCACGCGCCGGTGCAAGTATTTCCACCACCCCCAGCGGAACTACCACCCCCACCTCAAGTGGCTTACCTCCCAGGACCTCGGCCACTCTCACTGTACGGACTTCCCCGAAATCCACCACAATTGCAGTATCCCCCTAGACCCCTGAACCTAGCCCCCTGGAAATTGTCCCCCGCATCTCCTGGTTTTCCTCCAAAACCATCTGGTCACGGACCTCCAATTCCAATATCAGTGGAAGCTTATGGGCCACCAGTTAATGCCGCAACCCCCCCATTCACCGTTCCTCAGAATAACTACGCTCCACCCCCGCTCCCACCANGCCCCCACCATCCCTCCCCCTCCCCCCGGTTCCCCAGCCGCCACCACCGGGTGTACCAGCTCCTCCAACTCCCCCCGATATCAAATACGACGGTTGGCAACCCATTGCCGGCCACGTCGAGACGCCAAACGCAAACATTCACACACCACCCAGTGTCAATCTTGATCACCCAGCCAATGCCAATTTGCCAAGCAACTCGTACGGTGAACCGATAAACAATCCCGAGGCCCACAGCCTCAGACAGTCAATCGGTCACAGTGATCACGGCTTGCCACCTCCATTGTTACCGGATGCCGAGCCACTTCACAATATCCAGGAAGCGGCCCAGAGCCTGCCGGCACACCCAACCCACATTCCCGAGTCATCGCCCACAGCCAGTGCCCAAGTATCGTCCTTCAACGGTCCTTCATCATCCGGTTTAGACAGTCACGCAAACAGCAATCTGATCCAGGATCTCCCCCTGAATTTTCCACCGGCACAAGCCCCTAACTGCTACAATTCTCCGCCATCGGGGCCGGGACCAGTCGGCGACTTGTACGGACCGCCACCATCAGGGCCAGGATCCGTCAGCGACTCCTTCGGTGCACCTCCACCAGGACCCGGCAGCGACTCCTTCGGCGCACCTCCACCAGGACCACTCAGCGACTCCTACGGTGCACCTCCACCAGGACCAAACGACTCCTACGGTGCCCCTCCACCAGGACCAAACGACTCCTACGGCGCCCCTCCACCAGGACCAATCGGCAACTCCTTCGG